AGCATTATAAATATGGAATTAAAAGATGAATGAGAGGGAATAAACGTGTGAATGAACACCAGAATGGATGAATGCAGCTATTTGATGCCCACAATAATGCAGATGAGCAGATGGGTGAGTGAAGAGACGATTGGATGGCGCATGAGCGATTAGATGCATCGAGATAAGTAAAGGCAGGCGGATGATCGGGAGACGGGTAATCGTGCAGTTTGGTTCCATTTATGTTCATCACTGAATGACCTGGAAATTGTTTACATTTACTTAATAGCACTCATTTTCATGAGGAGCTAGAAATGTAAATTCCTATCAAATAAATATGTGTGTTGTTAGTGACGAATCTTCACGTTGCATTTCCGTCTTCTCTCTGCGTGCCAGCTTGTCTACCTTCTTTGCTTACATAAAGTGCATCCTGATACGCGTACAGAGTGGAATACCATGTCTGGACACAAGCCTGACTTGAAGTCGCATCTAGAGCAGTTAAAATGGAGATACACTACAAAATAGAACAGTTACAGCCCAAAAGCCTCCGCAAAATACTTTTGTGTTATACGTAAGCAACGTAATTTGTGTACACTCGACTTTGCAGAACGTCATTCACTTGCAGGATGCTGCAGTGGTTCCACACCACCATGAACCTTAGCTGTTTTAAAGCTAACTCTTCTGAGGTACTGCAAGATGAATGATAAACGTACTTAAACATGGGGTCGCCACACAGTTGCACTTGACATATATGCAGATTGCAATCAACCCATGACCATAATCGAGATTTTAAAAATTTCCCACATGCACGATGGCCCAGTGACCTGAATGCCATCTTCCACTTCCTCTGCGAATCGCAGTCAATACGCATTTTATTTCTCAAAGAAGGGTGCGTCACCATTGCATTTATGAAAACACCGTGGCATATGGCAATTGGACTGTTTTTATGATAGAAACCGACTATATTGCTCTTAAAGGGTGTGGACAAATGTGTACGGACGCGTTGCCTTCCTGACAATACTCTCGACAGTCACATACAGCGGGATCTCGAAACAATCTTGCAGACAAAGTGCGGCAAGCAAAGCTGCGTGAACTTAAATGAAAACAGTAAGGATTAGAGAATGAAACATTTAATACTTGGCGGTGACAAATTGAATGCGACTCACTTCGTTCACCTCTGACTCCTGAGGTACAAAGCTTTGTTCTGTCATATATATAGGCAACTTAATTGCACACTATGGGCTGGCTACTATTAGACGCATATAAACAACTTTCAAACTTACCATATTTAGTCAAAATCATGCAATACATCAACTTCCACGCAACTGGCTATTTTAAGGCGCGTTAGCAGTAAACAATAAAACCGCGAACAAATAGTAACCATTGCGTGATTCATCACTTTTCTAACATGTGGCCACTTTTGACCGGTAATAAGTAAATATTACAATTGTGCACAAATTGTGGCCAAATTTTATTGTTAATCTTTTCCAAAACTCTATGGTGTATGTCTCCTTAGAAGTAAATTTGTAAATGAAGCCTAATCAATTGGTATTATAAAAATTGGAATATAACGAAACTTTGTGTGAAAACAAGGTTAAGCCTGACTGTAAGAATGGACAGATAGACGTTGTAGCATGATAGACTGATGGATCAAGACCACACCCCATTATGTTTTTGATACAAAGCTGACTATGCCGAGTTACTGCATGGTGAAAGACAAGAATAATTAAACGCTACTTCGGCGCACAGTTGCAACTTGCTTATGTGCACAGTGGAGTGCATGTTTAAATTTAAAATAATCCATGATCGAATTCAGGCTATTTGAATGTATCCTGCATACAACCTAAGGCATAGTACTAGGTGCTTGCTGCAAATGTCTGCTGTGAATCAAGGCTACTAAGATTACATTTCATCTATTAAATGGATGCGTTATTTTTATGCTACAAATTCGACAATCTCGAAATATATTTCTAGTTGAATTTTACGAAACATATTAATTAGCAGTGTTGAGGAAGGCCTATTATTTGTTTTAGTAAAGAGCCAAAGAAAATACAAAATATTTGGTACTCACCGTTTGGTGCCACTGTAGCCACCAAATGATAAATTCATCAAACCGGAAGTAAAATCAAAGCACTTTTAGTTAATGCTGGGCAAATGCTCCTGCGAGCATTCTGACATAGCTTTGCATACCGACTTTTGTTTGTGGACACAATACTTGGGCAGTGTACATATATATTCAACTAAACTTTAAGTGGCAACAATCACCCACACTACGGCTGCATCAACAATGCGCTCTGTGTCACATCGAATTTATTGGAGGCAAAGAATATCTGTCTGCATTCTTCTTATCAGGTGGATTTGACAGGAGCGTCTGCGTCTGCGGTGTAGCAGGATTCTAAGAGGCGCGTCCACGTTGGCACGATTGATGAGAAGCGTGTTATTACTACGACCTCAGAGGTGGCCACATAGGATTTGGCAGACCTAACACTTGAGAAATTATCTAATCACGACGTAAAGGTATGTGTTCGCATTCCTGATTGTACTCCATCCAACGGATGGGGAAGATTTAGGAATGTCCGCCATCTACGGTTCAGCTGACTAGGATATGCTCTACTGCAACAAAAAAATCAGCAAAGCCTTTTTCTTTTTACATTCGTTTATTTTTGTTGCACTGTCTCCTTCTGCGTTCGTGGTTTCTTTTGCAGACATTTTCACCTCAAAATGATACCCCAGACGCAAAAGATGCCCAATGTTGATAGAAAGGATTCGCACGATATCACTGTCGCTTTACTACAGATCGTGAAGTGCACTATTTAGAAAAGCAAAGAACTGAAATTTAGGTATGGTCATAAGATTCAACTATGGTAAGCGGCCACAGCTACCAGAATAAAAATC